GCACGCTAATCTAAATTTAGCCTTCCAACATCTTCAATAAGAACAAAGGGAATATTTAATCTGTCTGTTTGCAGTAGAAGAATAACATTACCAGCTCTGCGGCAATGCTCAACTCTTAAAGCGTTCTTCTCACGGATAAAGCAATGAGAAAGACATATCAGAGGACAAGCAAATCTGGACAATGAGAAAAGGGTCTGATTCGTTTATTGGATCGGCTCGTTTAGTAACAATCAGTTCGTTTATACTGAAGGATTTGCAACCTTAACAACCTTAACAATTTCCTTAACAACCTTAAAAATTTCCCCATGCAGAATAGCAAAATAGCAGAGACATACAGATAGATAGATAGACAGACAGATAGACAGACATATAAATAGACATGTATGGATGTATGGATGGATGGATGGATGGATGGATGGATTGATGGATGGATAGCGGATTTTTACAACTGAGAGAATGACAGATGGGTTTATAAACGGAACAATAAAAAGCAAAAAGCAACAACAGAGATTTATGAACAGACAGACATATAGACAGATTTATACAAGAGATAGATTATTGAACAGAACAAAAGACAGACATATTTATAAACAGAACAGCAAAGCGTTAGAATAGAATATAGACAGGAAGACAGTTAAAACAAAAGACAGACAAGCAGATAGAATAATACAGAACAGCAAAAAAGACAGACCGAATGACAGACAGCAAAAACAACAGACAGACGAGCAGATTCATGGACAGAAAGACAGTTAAAACAACAGACAGAACAACAGACAGATGGACTAATTAAAATGACAGACAGAATGACAGACAGTAAAAACAACAGACAGAACAACAGACAGACGAGCAGAATCATAAACAGAAAGACAGTTAAAACAACAGTCGGAAAAAATGATGAACAGAACAATAAACAGAATGACATACAGACAGACAAGTTAGAATGACTGACAGCAAAAACAACAGACAGACAATTAGAATCACAGACAGAACGACAGATAAAACAACAGTCAGAAAGACTGATAAGCAGAACAATGGACAGAACAACAGGCAGACAGACAGATTACAATGACAGACAGGCAGACAGACAGATTACAATGACAGACAGAATGACAGACAGCAAAAACAACAGACAGAACAACAGACAGATGAGCAGAATCATACACAAAGACAGTTAAAACAACAGTCAGAAAGAATGATAAACATAACAATAGACCGACCAACAGACAGATAAAAAAATGACAGACAGAATATCATACAGCAAAAACAACAGACAGACCAGCAGATAGAATGATAGACAGAATGGCAAAAAAGACAATAAAAACAACAGACAGAATGACAACAGACACATTACAACAGACAGAGTGACAAAGAAACAGACAGAACTACAGACAGATTATCAGAATCATAAACAGATAGACGGTTAAAACAATGAGGAAAAAATGACAAGCAGAACAATGGAACAAACAACAGACAAACAGACCCACGAATTACAATGACAGAGAGAAATGACAGACCGCTAAATCAACAGACAGAACAAAAGACCGACAAGCAGAATCATAGACAAAGACGGTTAAAACAACAGTCAGAAAGAATGATAAGCAGAACAATGGACAGACAGACAAACAGATAGACAGACAGACAGACAAATTACAATGACAGACAGAATGACAGACAGACAAGCAGAATCATAAACAGAAAGACCGTTAAAACAACAGGCAGAAAGAATTATAAACAGACAAACAAACAGACAGACAGAAAGACAGGCAGACAGACAGAGATTACAATAATAGACAGAATGACAGACATCATAAACAGTTGACAGACTAGCAGATATAATGATAGACAGAATGACAAACAGCAAAAACAACAGACAGAACAACTAACAGACAAGCTGAGCCATAGACAGACTAGCAGATAAAATGAGACAAAGGCAAAAAAAGACAGTTAAAACAACAGGCAGAATGACAACAGACAATTTACAATGACAGACAGAATGTCAGACAGCAAAAGCAACAGACAGACGAGCGGGACCATAGACAGAAAGACTGATAAAAACAACAGTGGGAAACAATAAGCAGAACAATGGACAGAATGACAACAGACAGAGTGATGACAGAATGAACAGATAGAATAAACAGATAGAATGATTGACAGAATGAGAGTTAAAACAACAGACAGACAGACAAGCAGATATAAAAATACGCAGAAAGACTTTTTCACCATTAAAGTCATATCTGGTGTTTTCCCTAAAAATGTGAATTATTATCTAGGCAGCTACTGTATATGTACAACTGGTTGAGCAACTGACCGTATTTATGCAGGCAAATCAAACAGCAGAGTGAACTTTATGAGGCAAACGTGTGTGTGTGCTATTAGACTGCAGCTGAAGAGACAGGCGCTGGGATTGGACTATGATTCACACATGTGGCTCCCGGAAGGACAAGCATGAGATTTTTCCTCCAGCTGGATAACAGACATCTGCTACTGCTGTGAATGTGGTCAGGAACTCAGAACAAATCAAATCAGTGGTTTTGTAATGCTTGTCAAGTGTTTATGTTCTCATTCATACGGTCGCAGATGTATTTGTATGGTTATTAAAAAATACAATGTATATACATCTAATAAATATGTAAGTCTTACTAGAACTTAAACGGCATTTTTGTGCTTAAAATTTGTATCAATTTATCAATTAAAATGTATTGATATTTCATAGGCCTTAAAAATATATTATAACTACAACAGACCTATTAAACAGCTCAAAATGTGATAATATTCATGATTTAATAACTGACCTTGAAAGAATGCATTGCTGTTGAACAGTTCAAAAGCATCGGGTGATTCGGCTTTTGTTGGTTTGACAAATATTGGAGCACCTATATGGTATTCTGTGAAATATTTTATTAAAAATCTTAATTTAAAAAATTTAGTAAAAATGTAATTTAATATTGTAACAGGAAAGCAATTTCCAATCCAATTTACACAAATGTTCAGTGCATTCATTCATATTTGCCACAAGATCCTTAAAAATCATTTTAACATGCTGTTTGTATGATTTGGGTTCTCAAAGGGCCATGAAACCCCCCTCTTTCGGTTCAAATCCAGCTCAGAATTTTTTCAAAAAATGCTTCATGATGGCTTCATGAACACTGTTAGCAGAGGGAGGAGTGGGCATGGCCGGCAGAGGAGGGGGAAAAGAGGGGAGCGAACAACTGTTGTAAGGTGGGTCACAAAATGAGACACAAACTGTGAGGATTTTATAGTTTAAACTCATGATTTTAAAGTTTACCCCTGATTTTACAGTTTACAAAGTTAAAACGCAAAGAAATCACAGTCATTCAATAATTTCAAATACACATAACCACAATTTGTTATATCATTATAAAGATAATAGTGTTTATATAAACAGTATTAATGAGGAGGACTTCTCTCCACCTCATTCCTCAGGTCTAAATGCAGACACAGTGGATAGCAGTGCAGCAGGTCTCTTGCCCTATCTCTTCCAAATATTAACCCTATAGGCGATGTGTCTGAAAGGAAATGAACTCAACTGATAAAGGACAAACTCCGCCATTCTCCAATTCTCGTACAGCTTTCTCTAAGCTTGCTGCAAACTAATAGCTTTACTGTATCGGCCCTGACAAAACCATGGAGGAAAACATGCAACAAACACAGTTGATCATGAAAACAAACATACGACCTGTCTCACCCAGTGATTGGGTTTCACATCTTGGCAGGTCTGCCTTGTCTTTGGAAAGCAAGTGCTCTTTTGAATAATTAAGAAGCAGGGTCCTTTCATAGGATAAGAAATCTCTGCTATGTATAATAATGAGAAACCAGTGCGTCATCACTCCACTAGCAGATTTGCGCTACGTCACCGATTTTAAACCCGGAAGATGAAATTAGCTGACAAAAGCTTAAAACTATCCAGTTTTCTCCACAATTAAAGCTAACAGGTGCTAATGTTGTCTTAACTGATGCTCAACACACACACACACACACACATTTGTTTAAAAAAAGTACTCAAGGGTCTCTTTAACTTTTAACATTGATTTATAAATTTTCTCTTTTTTTAAGGACTATTTGATGATATAAAATCTAACAGAACAAAATCTATTTTAAAAGAAAATTGCAGGCGACGCAGTGGCGCACTAGGTAGTGCTGTCACCTCACAGCAAGAAGGTCGCTGGTTTGATGTTCTCCCTGCGTTCGTGTGGGTTTCCTCCGGGTGCTCCGGTTTCCCCCACAGTCCAAAGACATGCGGTACAGGTGAATTGGGTAGGCTAAATTGTCCGTAGTGTATGAGTGTGTGTGGATGTTCCTCAGAGATGGGTTGCAGCTGGAAGGGCATCTGCTGCGTAAAATTATACTGAATAAGTTGGCGGTTCATTCCGCTGTGACAACCCCGGATTAATAAAGGGACTAAGCCGAAAAGAAAATGAATGAATGAAGAAAATTGCATGAAATAATAATAATCAATGGGTTTTCTGTCACTTAATTGCCTTTTTAGTTAGTTTTGGTTAATTTAACAGATCTTTGATTAAAAAAAACGTCTCGCATACCAAAAACATCTGATTGGAAGAGCATATTTGAAAATGAGAAGTGTAATGACATATAACATCTTTGTGCTTTAGGCATCCTGAGTCCGAGTCCCAGCTCCTGGACCTTTCCCAATCCTCCCCCCCTCTTACTCTGACTTCACTTCCTGTCTACATACTTTCTTATCATAATAAAGGACAAAAAAATGCCAAAAACTACATTTAAAATAAAAATTTAAACCAAACTGTGCATGAACATTTCTGAAAACTATATGAAGTCATGGTGAATATCTTGACCCTTTGAACTAGATTTACACATTTCATCATCTTTATTTCTCACAAACCCATTTATAACAGTTATAATAGAATATATGTCCTTATCAGACCTCACTGTTTACGGCATTACTAAAAAGTAAGTAATAAACAAGGATTTGTCAGACAAACTATTTGCATGGTGTTACTCACTGGAAAGAGGGGGGTCTGGAATCTCCAATCCCTCCGGTTCTCTCCAAGGGGGGCAGCAGCTCTTTGTGGCTCTCTGTGCACTGAGATCCCCCATCCGAGTGTGTGCCTTCAGCCAACACCAACTACAGCCAAACACACACACAATTACTCACAAAGGCATCAGGAAGAAGCTCTCCAGACCAACTACTTGCCTTGCATTAATAAGCAGACCAGCAAGAGAAGAGAAGAGAGTGCATTTGTTTATGCAGACAGAAAGGCAGGCAAGTCAGCTCACTTGGCTAGCTTCTTGGTAAAGCCCTTGGGCAACCATTTCAACATATTTTCAAATCAGCAATAAAATATGACCACAACGGTGTCATAAATGATGCATACTTTTCTCAAATCGCACTATTTTTAGATTCATTTCAAGTAAACATTTCTATAGTGGTCTGACGATGGATCCTCACTCCATTAGAACCAAAAAAAGAGGCCTGATGATGTGGTAAAGTGCTTTCATGATCCAAATTATAACCGGTAGATGTGGTTACCTAAGGCTATACCCATAAAAACACTCTATTCTTCATTTTCTCTGCACAAATCAATGATGAAACCTTGCAGTGGGGCCGAAACCCAGCGCACCGTGGAATTTAAAGCAGTGATCATGTTATAGTGCACTGAAGGTCTCCGTGTTTGGACAGCAGGCGGTGGAGCACATATTTTAGAGCAGCAGAGCTCAATGTCATCTATCTCAGCATGTCTGTGCAGCTCTCTGCAGCTGGAGGCTCACTGCAGTCCACTAACCTGTATTTTGCGCCTCACACCAGCTCTACGAGGCATTACAGGTAGACAAGTGATCATCAGATTAATTACAGCTTTGGCATTAAAATCAACAGTAAATATTTAAACCTGCCAAAAGCGTGTCAAATAGACAGTTTCATTTAAAACGTATTTCAGTTTAGCTATCGACATGAAAAAAAAAAATGTCATGACCTTAATTTATCCATCTGGATGTTCAGACATATGGTTGTTCATACTGGCTAAGGTATTTTAGAATGGCCAAACAACATTTTAGATGTTGTGCAATTTGGTCAGCTCTCTGGTTTGTCCATTTCTGTTATCACATGATCTGTTAAAACAACATCATATGATTTTCTGATGCTCATGCTGTAATTTATTGTATGGAAATCATAGATATATATATATATATATGTATGTATGTATATATATATATATATATGTATATATGTATATATATATATATATATATATATATATATATGTATATATATATATATATATATATATATATATATATATATATATATATATATATATATATATATATATATATATATACTAGATATGGCATACGGACCCTGAGCATGCGTCAACAGTGTCGCCTCATTGGTACAGTGCTCCAAGGACAAATGTCATTCAACTGCACTAGTCAGGACCACAGCCAATGTGAAGATGCTGGATTTTAGTGCTGTGTACGGGTGTAAAAGTGAGCAAACAAAAGAAAACAAAGCAAAAAGGAATCACATTTCATAGGTAAGATTTTGTTTTTTATGTTTTTGTATGTTACGAACTTACACAACAAACTTGTACCAACTTGTATTATTGTCAGCTATGTGAACGAGTTGTTCATATTGAAGATTGATTCACAAACGAATCGCTCCCCTCCGTTGAGATAAGAAGTGAAAGCGGGAGAGGGGGTGTGTTTCAGAACATGGATTAGATCAAATTTAACAGGGAGGGAGGATAATACATGTACATGCACACAAACACATGCTCTTTGTCAGCAATGTCCGTGCAGTCACTAATTCATCGATGTAGAAAAGTGATGTAAAACTATAATTTTCGTAATTAAAAAAAAGAAATAAAAAATTGCATACTGAACACTGGGAAAACTCCTGATCATAGATATAAGTGTATATGTGTATATCTCTGGCTCTGGATGGCCACAGTCCTCCACTGCACCATGATTCTGCATTAATTTCAAAGGAGTGCTACCCTGTACTAAAACGGCGGCTATATTGAAGCATTCCTTCCAATAGACAACAATAGGCTAGATGGCATCTAATGTAAATATCTATGTATGGAAATAAATATGTTTCCATTGTAGCTTATACAGTACTGTCTTATCTACCATTGTGAAAAAACAAAGCTGAAAATTGTGTGCTGATATTTTAGCTAACGATGTCACCCAGCGGTCAAAAACGTAGACTTATTTACTACATTTCCACATTTACAAAGGTAACATATTGAAGTGTTAACATTATCCCTATATATGTTAACATTATCCCTATATATGTGAAAAGTCCAGTAAGGGTGTCAGTGCACATTAGGTTATAAATAGAGTGAATCTTATTATTAATGGAGTGAAAAATTCCATTTTTCTTTTTGATATTTGGTGCCAGTTTATGAGGAAGTGATCCTTTTGTTCTCTTTGACTCATTGAATTCTAATGATGCTTTACTCTCAAATGTTTTATGCGTATAAGTCTAATTTGCATCTGAAACATATCTACTGTAGATGTTTGATGGCAAAGGGGTCATTCAGAAGCCAGGCTACAGTGTTTGAATTCAATTTGTTTGATTCATTAAAACGAACCTGTTCATAAGTCTTTTGATAAAGTGTTTTTCAAGAATCCGACGACACCAGTTGCGCTTTGTTTGATTAACTCACTAAAAAGAACCACTCTGAAAAAACAAACCAGCCTTGGAGGCCAGCTTTTATCTCAGCATGACTGATACCCTGATATTTTGCAATGTCACAATCTGTTCAAAACTGTGAGGAGTGCTCCATCCGTCTCACTTACCCAGGCCACCACTCTGCCGTTGAAGCAGGGCAGCTTGGCATTATCGTCGGAGATTTCTTCTTTGACGACTCTGCGGGAGAAAACACAAGCTGTTAGAGACTCTGTGAGACCAGTACCCAGGACTGCACACCAGTGTTCCCATCTATTTGCAAAAGCTGAGGCATACTGAAAAGCATGTCACGCTCAAACAGCGGAATTTTCCACTTAGCTCTCAACTGCGGGCTGCTCATGATGAGAATGCTGAACGGCCCTGTTGACTGACCACTCTGTTTAAAACGACTTCGTTTTACAACCGGACCTCATTAGTACCTCCACATAACCTACTAAAAGTGCTGCAAACAGTGGTTTAGTATAAATGCACATCTAGTATATCTCTAAGTGTGTGTGTTTATGAGTATTAAAGCTCTTTAGGTGCATATATATTCAAGTGTGGGGCATATATGTGTGAAAGGTGCAGTAAGGGTGTCAGGGCACATTAGGTTATTAATAGAGTGAATGTGTGTGTTAGCAGAGTGTCCGTCCCAGGCTGTAAATTCCCTACATAAATACCACACAGTTACCCTTTAACCCTCTCAGTTGAGGTTCAGCAGTCACACACCTGCTCATCTTCTGTCAGTGTGTGCATGACAGGTCCATAAGTACACATACAAAGCACATGACATAAGACTCAAAGAAATCACTTAAGGGAGGTTTGATTTGCAGAATGACAAAACAGGATTACCAGGGATTAACAAGATATGTGCATCATATTGAAAAAGTTGTGAGATCGTTCAGATTTTCAGCAGATGATATAATAAATCGTTTGCAAATTTAAGGCTTTGAGAAGGGGTTTTAATGCTTGATATATGCAATCAAAAATGATCTAAAACAGTGGTGCCAAACTTAGTTCCTGGTGGGCCGCAGCCCTGTACAGGTTTGTTCCAACCCTACTCCACCACACTTACCTGTAGGTTTCAAACTAGTCCAAAGTACATAATTAGTTTGATCAACTGTGTTTAATTAGGGTTGGAACTAAACTGTGCAGAGCTGCGGCCCTCCAGGAACTGAGTTTGACACATGTGATCTGAAGTAATCAGCCGCGGTCACACTGGACTTCTATTTGTAAGCACACAAATGAAACAGATCGGAAACGCAAGCTCGTGCGACAAGTTTCGCAGTTTGCTGCATTGCAAAATCTGACCAGCAAAATCGCATCACATGATTGCGTGAGAACATTTAAAGATCAATACATGACCTCTCTGGACAGAAATAAAAAATTTGGACTAACCGCTAGCTTTTATAAATGTTTAATCTGTTGATTTCAAACTAAAGGACTTAATCGGTTTGATCAAGTGTGTTTAATTAGGGTTGGAACTAAACTGTACAGAGCTGCGGCACATGTGATCTGAAATATTACACACACTGGCCAATTTATTTAATTTGTTAATGCAAAAAAATATCTAATCAGCCAATCATATCTCTAATAAATATATCAAAATACAATATCGTATGAACAACCACTCAGATTACACTAATTTCCCAGCATAATGGATGATATACAACCACTTACTCTACATTTAGTTATAATGTTGTTATAATCAAGTGCTCAGACTTACTGACTGACTGACTGACTGACTTCGTTTTTTATCAGAAGCAAAAGTTTTCAATGTATGTGAATAGAAAATATTCTACAGACCTTCTTTGGTACTTGTCATTTGAAGAAATTTGGTCACAGCACCAAACTTCTGCAAGAGCACGGCTATTTTTGCATTTGTTTTAATCACAGGAGGAAAATTGGTAATAAAATTAACGGTTATGGATGTGATATATGTGAAATGGACACTTGTGTGAATTTTGTAAATCAAATATAATTGTTGGAAAACATTGACAGAGAAATTGAGTATTTTAACAGTCTACTGTAAAAAAACAAGACTACAAAAATTTGTCATGGCAAGGTGGGACTTTTTATTTAAAGAAATTTGGTCACAGCTCCATTACATTTCTCTTAATCATAGGTCGACATTTGGCTCATAAATGTAATTCCTAAAGCAATTGAACAACACTAGACATCATTAAAAATTCTACCTCATAAGACCCATTTGATTGCCAAAAAGACTACACTGGTAATCATACTGCCAGGACAATTAGAATAACTAAAATCTTGAAGATATCTTTTTGTTTACTGTTTTAAGAAGAGCTGTTGCATATTTGTTTTTTATAATTTTTTGCATTTAGTGCATTTTTTGACGCACTAACCACTACACCACTGGCGCCGACTATTGCATATTTTTAATGACATTAACTGAATCAAGTCCCTCAAAAAACTGGTTGTACATGGAAGACAACTGAATGAGAAGACAATGTGGCAATCTCAATTGGAAATCATATTAACACTAAAAGAACTGCTCTCCAGTTCAGTGGCTTAGTAAGGATCAAATCTATATATCATTAGCAGATAAAATGAATCTAAAAACACTTTAGTAATGAAAGCTAGTTTTATTTATTTGCATCTAATGGGAAGGGTTCATCAAAATGAACCCAAAGTGTGTGGAGAAGTCAGTGAAAGGTAAAAGCGAAGTGTTATGGTTTGGTGGTGTTTTTTGCAGCTGGAGTTTTTCCATTTTGGTCACATTTTATTTTGATAGTCCGTTTGTTGAATTTAAGTTACATTACAACTAATTCTCATTTGATTATAAAAGAGAGTAGTGAAAGACCATTATAAGTAGACTGTTAGGTTGGGGTTAGGGTTATAGGGTTAGTGTAAGTTGATATGTACTTGCAAAGGTTCTTATAGTCAGTTAAATGTCTGTTGAAGTAGATGTATCAGCAGATATCAAGCAGACAGTCTACTAATACTCAAATGGACCTTCAAAATTAAGTGTTACTTTCCTTTTATACAGATACATGACAAAGTGAATGCAAATGTTCATCAGAAGCTCCTTTAGCAACTGCACTCATAACACAATCAGCCAACTATGTTCATGCAGGACAATCAGCCCCATCAAACAACAAATGTGTTAAGCAGTTACTTGAAGCTGAAAAAATTGAAATAATGAAATGGCCAGACCACAGTCCTGACTAAACCTTATTGAAAATCTCTTGAATATCCTTGGGGACCGTTATGGTTACAAACTCAGTAAATTCATAGCTATTGAACTGGGGAAGAGACTGAAGAAAAGTGAATTAAGATCACAGCAGAGCAGTGAGAGACCAGTGATGCCTGTGACCACAGATGTGCTCTGGTCATTCAGAGCAAGTGCCTGTACACTTCTTAAAATTTCTGATTGTAGCATTAAGAAAGATTAAAACAAAAATTTCTGAAAGTTGCAGCAAAGCAATTTCAGCGTTATGGGTGTGACATTTACAGTAAGAACTCAAAACATAAATTTACATACAAAGCGTATGTCAACATTATATTGAAACATCTGTTTATATTTTCCAAAACAACTAACGATCAAACTTCCCAGCTTTTTGCAGAAGTTTTTCCTTTCATACAGATACATGCCAAGGTGAATGCAAATGTTTATCAGAAGCTCCTTTAGCAACTGCACTCATCACACAATCAGCCAACGACGTTCACAAAGGACAATCAGCTCAATCACACAACAAAATGTGTTATGCAGTTACTTGAAGTTGAAAACATTGACATAATGAATTGGCCAGACCACAGTCCTGACTAAACCTTATTGAAAATATTTTGAATATTCTTGATGACAAAACAACTAAACACAGGGTTATGGGATCAGAAATATATCAATCTGTAAACATTTTTAGTATTTTAAATGAGGAAAATAAACCTGCATTATGGATGTGAACAAAGAAGTTAGCGACTTTACAGTGTTCAATATACTTTATAGAAATTCTGTGAATTAAACTGCTCAATCCAAAAAAAACAATGCTAATCAAAAGGATAAGAGTTGGCTCTCTGTAGAAAAAAAATGATTGATTTTATTTTATTTTACATATTTGCATTTATGAGTGGCAATTTCATGTCATATTCATAACAATGCTTTTTGCATTGTTATGAATGTGACATGTGAAATTGCCACTTGTGTGATTTTAGTACATCACATATAAATGTTTGAAAACATTGGCAAATGCATGTTTGAATATTTGTAGAGTACTGTAAAATACAAGCCTACACAAAAAAAAACTTAGAAAGGGTTTCTCTTTTTTTTGGTGAAAACTTTTTATTTCATGGCAAGGTTGACATTTGCATGGAATTGCTCAGCAATCATAGCTGCTCTCTAATTTTGATCATAGTCATTCATTCTTTCATTTTCTTTTCGACTTAGTCCCTTTGTTAATCCGGGGTCGCCACAGCAGAATGAACCGCCAACTTATCCAGCCCTTCCGGCCGCAACCCATCCCTGGGAAACATCCATACTCACTTACTCATACACTATGGACAACTTAGCCTACCCAGTTCACCTGTAACGCATGTCTTTGGACTGAGGTGGAAACCGGAGCACCCGGAAGGAACCCACGCGAACGCAGGGAGAACATACAAACTCCACACAGAAATGCCAACCGACCCAGCCGAGGCTCGAACCAGCGACCTTCTTGCTGTTAGGCGACAACACTACCTACTGTACCACTGCGTCGCCCATTTTAATCATAGTGTTTTCCACAAAAAAAAAATCATCTTGATCAATTTGGGGAAAAATACTACTAGCACTACTTGCATGGTAAAACCACAGCTAAAATCCATTTGAATATTGTACAATAAAGATTACATTATTACTTACAAAAAACTGTTGACTGTAAACAGGGTTTCTGCAGTTTTTAGCAAGTCAAATTTAATACTTTTTAAGACTTTTTCAAAACTGGTCATGATCATGAATGCAATTTCAGACTTTTAAATATGTTTAATTTACTTTATATATTAATCGAAATCTCATTCACATATTTTAAATAATGTCAAAACAAGCATAAATTGTATATAAAAAATGTGACAGGTTTTAAAAATTATAACAAACTAAATGTATGCACCAGTCAGTCCAAGTCAATGTCCTCATCAGGTAGTTGTAAATACATGGAGAACGTTTAAACAAATGTTATTCTAATGAAGATAATTGAACCATATTGGCA